CACCCGACTCTAAATTTCCTGTCAAATTGCTCCAGTCAATCTGTCTATAGTTGAAATCTCCCATTAGCACAACATTTTCGTATGTAGATGCCTTACGAATTTCGTCCCATAGAAGTTTACTGCACTCCCTATCAAGATTTGGGGCCCTGTAAATCACACCCAAAATTAGTTTTTCTCGGCCCTCGAGAAGCTGTAACCAAACAGATTCAGTGGCTGACGCTTCTAATTTAATATCTTGTCTAACACAACAATTTAAAATTGTCTCTGACATACATCGCTACTCCACCACCTTTCCTGTTGACCCTGTCAGTGTGGAATAATTTATAGCCTTGTATGTGACATTCAGATGGCATCTCTCTATCTTTCAGATTGAGCCAGGTCTCTGTTATAGCAATAATATCTATGTTTCCTGCACTTGCAATTAATCTTAGCTCATCTATCTTATTTCTAACACTCCTGCTATTAGTATAGTAAACCTTAAGGGAGCTAGTCCCTTGCTGCCCTCTGCTGTCCCCCTTTGTTTTCTGACCTGTTCTATTGTCTTTATTTATAACTTCATGCTGAATGCCTTTTATACATTTACTGTTTCCAACCCTAGTGTTGCAACCTGCTTGTTTCCCCACACACACCCATACCTCTATCTTCCATCAGTTTAAAATCATAGGCATTTCACCAATGGCCTTCTCAATCGAGTCTGCAAGTGCTACCACCCCTGCCCCAGAGAGATGAACCCCATCCCTTGCATACATATCATGTTTGCCATAAAAGTTGTTCCAGTTGTCAATGAATGGGATTGCAAGTTCCTTGCAGTATCTGTCTAGCCAGCAATTTACACCAATTGCCCTAGACAACCATTCATTTCCTACTCCCCTTCTAGGCAAGATGCTACATATGATTGGGATCCCTCCCTTAGACTTAATGAAATCTATAGCTGACCTGTACTTATCTAGCAGCTCTTCTCTCCTACCCTTCCCAATATCATTTCCACCAGCACTGAGACAGATAATGGGCTTGTTCCCATTACCTGACATGATATTATCCAGTCTGTTGACAATGTCCCCAACACCAGCTCCAGGGAAGCACACTCTATCTCTCATCTTCTTATTCCTATTACAAAAAGCACGGTCAACATATCTTACCTGAGAGTCACCAACCACAAGAATGCGCTTACCTTCATTAGCAGGGCAGTAGTACCCTTACCTTCACTGGCCACTGAAGTACATTCATCCTGGAGAACAGAGAAGCGATTTCCTACCTTCAGATCTTCACTCTTAACTTCCTTACTCTGATGCGCCTCCCATTACTGTGAACAACTCGCCACTTGTAGCAGGTGCTGGGCTGCACCTCACTGCTGGTACCCGTTGCTACCTCCCCACCTACAGCCTCCTCACAGTGAGAGACAGACTGCACCTCACTGCTAGAAGCCTCATTCCCCACATCTCCAACCACCTCACACTCTCTCCCAGGCCCATTGAGGTGGACCTTCAGCCTCCTAATCTCCTCCTGGAGAAGCAAGACCTCCTCCTTCAACTCTCCAAACTCAGTTTTTAAAACACTGCAGAAGCAAGCCATGCTTTGTAACCGTCCACGCTAATCCCCAAAGCAGCTCAGGGTCTGTGACCTCACGTGACGACTGACCACTGAACAGGACCTCGCCCCTCGCCCCACATGCTCCTCAGTATACACCGCCCTCCTGAGTTCATATAGTCATATTAATGGTTGTGTACTCTAGAGTACTGCTGATGGTATAAAATACCGACGTGTGATGAATGAGACGCGTGCAATATCTGGGTATCTTTATAGCACCTAATTGTTGCATGTGTTTTATTCATTAACTTGTTGATATTGTACACCATAAATAATATAACTTCCAAAAAATGGCAAAGTACCGGCAATATGGTGAGACACTGATTACAGAGACGTCTTTATTGTCCAGCGTTTCATTAGAAATTGACTGAATCAAGTACTTGATAAAGCCATTGTACTTTTAGAGATTAGATTTTGCCACCGAAGTGGCTAGTTTATTGTGCACACCATATCCATCCTTGGACGGAGGGGGAAAGGCATATGGAACACAAAAGGGCCCTAGGAACTGGGCCCCAAAGGGTTAAAAGGAATACATATGGATTTTATATCACATACCCAAGTTCACTTACTTTACAAGAAATTTTTAGGAAATTTGCTTAGTATATCTGGGTTCTTATTTTCATTAAAAAAAATTCTTTGACATGTCACATGGTTACAACTGCTGCCCCCGGGGATTCTTCAAAAATGGAAAATTTAAAGCACAAGTGTTCAAGACAGTGACCATATGCCTGATCACATAATTTACATTTATCTGACATCATCTGGTGTCTCCCAAACTGCCAAAGACTTGAAACCCAAACCAAAACCCTCCCACTAAAACTCATCATGTTCAATTGCACGGGTTGCTCCAAAACATACTTATCCGTTCAGTTATCATAGTGGTTATAATCTACCAGGTTTCTAACTGCATTCCTATAACTTCATTTCATTGTTTACTTCTCTCCAAATATTTTTCCAATGCTAGACACTTTTACCAAAGTTTTTTCTACTTTTCCATTGTACTGTAGCGAAATGTACAAAACGATTTCCTGGTAATCCATGTTACTCCCATACCCCTGTCTGTACGCAACCCCAGGGGGACGGGGGGAAGTCATCTGTAACAATTTTGAAAATTTTCCACTAGTGATCTACACCCCCCGGACGTCACCCCACTGTTACCACAACTTCTATGTCGGTATACCAGTCTGGCTGCATGCTTTTGCTTTAGGCTGTGTGACTGCCACTTCAAAATTACCTTTTCCCATTTTCCCCAGTGTCATTTTTTGCCTGTATTCGATTGAAAAGCCCCTGTGAAGGCAACGTTTCGGCAATGAAGATACTAAAGTGTTGCAATGTATCTTTTCATCATTTTATACTAAAAAATTTTAAAAAAAAGCTTGGTTTGCAAGCGAAACTTTGGGCCCAGAAAAAAGGTTTCATTGTACCATAGGGGTTTTGGGGACACTGACAGTGCAAAGTTTAAATATAGAGCGCATGGTTTTTAGTGCTGAACAAAAATTATTGCATTGCAATAGAAATTATAAACTAGCTGTTTTTTTCAACCTGCCTTTCATTAATAAACTGTTGGAATTAACATGTTATCTTTATTTGTCTGTCTTGAAAAAAGTTTTGATATATTGCTTTCAAAATTGTTATAATTTAAAAAATTTTTTATTTATTTTTTGTAGTTTACAACTATACCCTTGGAACTCAGACATTATTTTCATTTTCAGTAAAGTGTACAATACCACCAATAGGGGAATTAGATATATGGAAAAGGGGTTTTTTTTTTATCCCTCTGTCGTCCTGTTTAGTTCTGCAATGGGGGGACTCCCCTTTTCTTCCACTGTCTTCTTGTTGTTCTGCAAGACTGAGCATATTTTTTGGGAAATGATGAAGCCACGGTTAAACCCCCCAAAAAAATTTTCCCGGTATTTTCATGGGTTTAAATTCCCATTTTTTACTTTTAAAATAAATTCTTGCCCCTTAAAAAAATTCCCGGGGTTTGCAATTTTTAAATTCAAAATGTTTTAACGGGTGGGTAACAGGGGATATATCAATGGAATAAAAATTTTTTCGAAAACAAAAAGGGCCAAAAAACACTTATTAAAAAGGGGAGGAAAAAGGTTAGGAAAAAAAGAAAAGAAGGACCCATGAAAAAAGGAGGGGGACGCTAGGGGCCAACAAAAGGGGGTTTTTTTTTTAAAAAAAAAAAAGGAAAATGGGGAGAGAAAGGGGGAAAAGGAGGCTAAAAAGACAGGGGGGCAGGGAGTAAAACCTTGAAAAAGAGGATTTAAAGGGGGAAAAGGGTTTTTAAAAGGGGGGGTGGAGGAGGAGAAGGGGGGGAGAAGGGTGGAAAAATTTGGGGGAAGTTTTTCCCGAAATTTGAAAAGAGGTAAAATGGGGAGCAAAGGGGAGACCCGGAGAAAGATTTTAAAAAAAAAAAAGAAAGGGGCCCCAAAGGGCAGGTTTTTGGGGGTTGGGGGGGGAAATTTTGAAAAAAACTAAGGACCCCGGGGGAAATTTTTGAAAAAAGAAGATTTTTAAAAAAGGTAGGAGGGGTGAAGAAAAGAAAGGGGGAGAAAAAAGGGGGGGTTTTTAAACCCCCTTTTTTTTTTTCCAAAGAAAAAAAAAAAAAGGAAAAAAAGTAAAAATTTTAAAAATTTAAAAAAAGCCGGGGGGAATGTTAACTAGAGGATGGGGAGGAACCAGGGGGGAAGAGGAAGAAGCTTTTCGGAAAAACCCCCCCCCCCCCCCCGGGGGAAAATTTTGGGGGAGGGGGGGTTAAGGGAAAAAGGCCAGGGAGGAAAAAAAAAGGGTGAAGGGGGGGGTTTTTTAGGGGAAAAGAAAGGGGGGGGAAAAAAAAAAGGGAGGGGGGACCCCCAAAAGAAGAAGAGGAGGGGGGGCCCCCCCAGGAAACCCCAACAAAAAAGAAGAAAAAGGGGGGGGGGGGGGGGGGGAAAAGGGGGGGAATTTTTTTTTTCCCCCCAAAAAAGAAGGGAGGCGGGGAAAAAGGGAACCCAAGGGGGGGGGGTAAATAGGAGGAAGAAAAAACCCAAAAAGGGGGAAGGGGAAAGGCCTTTTTTTAAAATAAAAAAAAAATTTTGGAGGGGGGAAAAAAAAAAAGAAAAGGGGAAAGGGAAAAACAGAAAAAAAAAGAGTAAACTAAAACAAGGAAAAGAAAAAGAAAAAAAAAGGGAAGAAGAAAAGGCCTGGTTATTTTTTTTTTCCATTTTCACAGTAAAATAATATCTCAAGTGTAAGGACAAATTAATACTGTACAATTTAAGATCTAATTAATAGACAAAATCCGCCGGGGATCAGTAGCTTATTATCATCAGAGGATGGGAGGTAGCCAGGTTTGTTCCAGGGAATGAGAAGATAGCTTAAGTTCCTTGGATCAAGAACCTTTCCCCCCCCCCTTCCCACCGGCGGTGAGAAGATTTTGGGAAGTGTGAATGTTAATGGAAGGCAGCGTTACCATGGCGACGCGTCAACAACAACAACAGTGGCTGTAATTTGTTTGTGTGATGGGTTGTGTGAGGCAGGAAGACACAGCCATGGTGAAGCACCTGCCATGACACAGCCATGGTGACGCACCTGCCATAAAGAAGAAGAGCAGTGATGGTGCTGACGACCCTGGCAGTCTGAACACCTTATACAAATGAAGAAGAAAAAGGCGTCAGGTTGTGCCCAGGTCGTCGGCGGTGTGGCTCACTTTTCCTGCTGGGAATATTTGTATCCTCTTCTCTATAATCCCAGATAGGCCTAGGCTGGGTTGTCTTTCAAACGCGAATTCCTAGAGGTAGGGCTAAATATGGTTCACGCCGTCACAGCCTAAAGCTACAACAATTCTTGCGCTGTATAGCCCTTGTGGTTTAGCGCTTCTTTTTGATTATAATAATAATACTACTACAACAATTCTTGCTTGCTCAGGGAATGTACCAAGTATTTATACTGGAATGGGACGAAAGGATGAATATTTATTTCAGCTATGACAGTACGGAAAATACCAAGAGTAACATTTTCATAAATCTCACAATGGAAATTGCTAATAAAGCACAAAACATTAATAAGTGGAATGACAGCTTCCCAGCAGTACTGGTGATGCTCGGTTTTCATCCTCATTCAAAAAACTGTTGTACTCCATTCACTGAAGTATCCTAGCAACCAGCGGTAAGTTTTGTTGGTGTTTTCTATAAATGTTAAGGTTAGCAGTTGCCCCCAATTACCCTCGATAATGATATTAGGACCCTAATGGAAATATGTCACTTTGACTTTTTTGGATTATCGTAGCTAATGTATATATGTATGTATGTATGTATGTTACTATGTATGATAATTGTACTTATGTGAACCTGAGATCTGATAAGATAAACTTACTAGAGAGCAAACATAGAAGTAGCAGTTAGCACTGACATAATATGGTGTACACTGAAATAATATAATTTTAAACTAATGAATCTAATTTAATCTGACTTAATGTGATTAAGTGCATTCATTGCACAAATATATACAAAGCACTTGGGTTTGTACATAACCATCAACATTTTCAATTTACCACTGTGATGCCATGTATGGGCTGTCATATTGTATTGAACCATAACTGATACAATAATGCTGGCTGCTAATTCCATTGTATCTTAGTCTCTCACAATTTTATAATTAACATTTACCCATTGCCTCAATGAGGCACTGAAGGTTTATATGAGTTATAACTGCTGCAAAGCTAATTTCCACTGGGCAGATATAGTTTTTACTATCTTTCATATCTGGTGATGCAACTTGCTCTTAGTCTATTAACTGCTCAGTGGAAAGGTGGTTTTCATGCTTTACCCTCACAGCCTGGCCTGGGGCCAGGCTTTTCTTCTGCCTGCCAGCTCAACAAGGCTGTTGCTGTTTGCAACCCACTGGCCTAGATAACCATGACAACCTGGTTGATCTGGCACTTGGTGGAAGTAGTAATCCAGTTTTCTCTTTGAAACTTATTACTGTGTACCATAATTTAAATATATAATGAATAGTTCAATCTGATTTTAATTGGAGCTAAACAAAACAGTTGTAGCTCATTATTTTAGTGTTTTTAAATTATGTATATTTAGACCTGATGCTGGTATTTAATTTGTTTTAACAAAATTGCCATTAGTCATATTTAAATTTAATACTATTATTTTTACTAATTTTATTGAGACATTACGCTGTCATTGTACGCGTTAGAGAGTTGGACGGCCACTGCTTTGTCTGGATGGTATTTTTAACAAACTCCTGCACTTCATGCCATTTAGCACACATTTCCTTGACAAGTGCAGTGGGCACACCATCCCTTCCTTCCTCTTCCTCTGATGACAGCTCCTCCACTGCAGTCTGTTGCTGCTCCTTCTGAAGGTCTAGAAGTTCTGTCCTTTCTGAAGGTCTGGAAGTTCTTCTGTCCCTTCTGAAGGTCTAGAAGTTCTTCTGTCCCTTCTGAAGGTCTAGAAGTTCTTCTGTCCCTTCTGAAGGTCTAGAAGTTCTTCTGTCCCTTCTGAAGGTCTAGATATCTCGTCTTCTGAAGGTCTAGATTCTTCCCTTCTGAAGGTCTAGAAGTTCTTCTGTCCCTTCTGAAGGTCTAGAAGTTCTTCTGTCCCTTCTGAAGGTCTAGAAGTTCTTCTGTCCCTTCTGAAGGTTTTCCTTGAAGGTCAAATTTCTGTCCCTTCTGAAGGTCTAGAAGTTCTTCTGTCCCTTCTGAAGGTCTAGAATGTTTCTATCTGTCTCGTCCCTTCTGAAGGTCTAGAAGTTCTTCTGTCCCTTCTGAAGGTCTAGAAGTCCTTCCGTCCCATTCTGTACATGCGAAAACTTGTCCATCGACAACCAAGAGAACGTACGAAAACCAGGACATTTTTTTCTCGAACACCTCATTTGAAAACCGATTTATTCAACAAATAATGCAGTCGACAACCAAGGTTTGACTGTATTTCAGAATGACTAGTGTGAATGGTCACTCTTGTGCCCAAGCAAGATTCCATAGGTTTGAGTGCTTATTTTATTTGTGAACCTAGTTATTTTGTATGATTCCTGTATGTAGGCTTATCTTTGCACCATATTTTTTTACATTCGTGTAGACTCCTGCAAAGTATAAATAACCTGCAATTTATCTTTCAGGTTTAAATAAAAGTTCCAAGTGAAGATGATGGAAGATGTGAATGCAGAGTGCAAAAAGTTCTGTGTAGAGTGGGCCAACTTCCACAAAGTGACCAAAGTGCTTGTAAAAGCATTGCGGAGGATACACCATGGAGTAAGAGCAGAACATGCACAGCTCAAAGGGAGTATAAAGACCTCAGGGTTAAAAACGAAAGTGTTAGCTAGACACGAAACTGCGTTTAAAAAAGTTATTTTGGGTCTTAGAGATTATGCAGCTAATTTTCTGGAAATGGAGGAGCAATACAGAGAGCTATTAAAGTCTCGTAATAAGTTCTGTAAAATTCAGTTTGCCAGAGTGATAGAGAGACATAGTGAGGTTGAAGTGCAACGAGACACTATACTGTTTTCTGTTGAAAGTTTAATAAAAGCTCAATTGAAAATTATAGCAGGAAATTTCAGTGAAAATTCAAAAATGCTGGCAGATGCTGGCATTTTTGAAGTTATAGCATCATACAATGAAATACTTATTAAGCTAAAGAATATTTTACCTAAGAAAGAAGAAGAGTATGAAGATGAGGAGGAAGATAGTGAAACATTGTATAGAACTATAATGCCAGATACTTTAGTTCCTCCATTGTCTTGTTTGAAGCAGATGACTGCATCCAAGATTCTTCAGACAGTAGGTAGAGAAAGAGCACCTCATGTTACAAAATGCATTGCAGATACCTTAATGCTAGAAGTAATAATGCCAGCTGAAAATGGGACAATGCTACCATGGAAGCCAACAAATTATAGTGGAAAATATGGGCAAAGCACTGGTGATATATTTGAAGATGCAGTTGCTAAGGAAGAAGATGAAAATAAAATAAATCAGCAAAAGTTAGATTTAGCTTTGAGAATGGAATTTGGAGAGGACTTTCCTGGTACAGATTATCTGCCAGCTAATGATGCTGGGGATTTAACAAGCCCTGTATGTTGTTCCAAAGTTGACTCTCTTATTAAAACTAACTCAGAGTTACTCGATTTACTTGTTGAAAAGTTTACGAAGACAACAGGAGTCCTTGGTAAGTCATAAATGTTACACATTTTCCTTCCTCTTATTCATTTTTGTAAATACTTTAAAATATTTTTATTTGCTTCACAAAGCTATTCTTGCTGGAAAAAATATTATAGGAAATTAATTTTTCAAGAATAATAAATCAAAATTTGATTTTATATTTTAATTTTGGTATTATTTTTGCAATTTTGCAGTCAAAGGTATGGTCAAACAAAGCAAATCTGGAGAAAAACGTTTAAGTAAAGCTGCTAGAACACGAATTGAAACATATTATGTGGAAAGGGTTTGGGGTGAGGGCTCAGAATTTGTAGAGGAGATGGTGCTATGGATCCCTCCATCTGCCAGACCTCCTCCATTCCCACCCCCAGCACTTCTCACACCTCTAAAACTCTTTCAACTACTCACAATATTCCAGCAGTACTGCAATAAAGGTATGTGATAAATACTGCATTCATATTGCACAAATCTCAGACAGTTATGATGCATTTTAGTGATGTGAGTAGTAATATTAGCACCTACACTTAATGACAGCTATGATATAATGCATCAATTTAAATTTGTTTTAGAAAAAGATGATACATTATAGAACAAATTCATTATAATGATGACATTCCCATGCTTATGAATCAATGTCTTATCACCTCATATTATCTTGACTAAATCTCATGCATTCCCAAGATAAACAAATAAATACATATGGCAGCCAGGCATATACATGTACAGTGGTACCTCGAGTTTCGAACAGCTCCCAACTCGAACAGTTATGTAAGTGTACGTATTTGTGAAAGGGCTTTTGTAATTGTATTTTTGGGGGTCTGAAACAGACTAATCTAATTTTCATTATTTCTTATGGGAACAAATTCATTCGGTATCGGCACTCGAACAGCCTTCCGGAATGAATTATTAAGTTTGTAACTTGAGGTACCACTGTACCCATGCCTCCCTGGCATTCTGGGAAGATGTAAATATTTGCTACATCATTACTGTACATGCATGTTTTGATCTCTTATGGAAAGAGGAGCTGTGATTGTTTCAGTCTCTCAAATCATCCTGGGGAACCAGTGCCAGTTCAGCACCTAATTGTATGTCCTCTACAATTTTAGCACTTCCCCATGAATATGCTGATAATAATAACAATAATAATAATAATTAGGGTGTGTAGAAGAGAGGGAAACTACTTCCTGGTATAAGTAGGTCTCAGACAGGGATGTGTAATGTCACCATGGTTGTTTAATATATTTATAGATGGGGTTGTAAAAGAAGTAAATGCTAGGGTGTTTGGGAGAGGGGTGGGATTAAATTATGGGGAATCAAATACAAAATGGGAATTGACACAGTTACTTTTTGCTGATGACTCTGTGCTTATGGGAGATTCTAAAGAAAAATTGCAAGGGTTAGTGGATGAGTTTGGGAGTGTGTGTAAAGGTAGAAAGTTGAAAGTAAACATAGAAAAGAGTAAGGTGATGAGGGTATCAAGTGATTTAGATAAAGAAAAATTGGATATCAAATTGGGGAGGAGTAGTATGGAAGAAGTGAACGTTTTCAGATATTTTTTGAGTTGACATGTCAGCGGATGGATTTATGAAGGATGAGGTTAATCATAGAACTGAAGAAGGAAAAAAGGTGAGTGGTGCATTGAGGTATATGTGGAGATAAAAAAATGTTATCTATGGAGGCAAAGAAGGGAATGTATGAAAGTATAGCAGTACCAACACTCTTATATGGGTGTGAAGCTTGGGTTGTAAATGCTGCAGCGAGGAGGCGGTTGGAGACAGTGGAGATGTCCTGTCTAAGGGCAATGTGTGGTGTAAATATTTTGCAGAAAATTTGGAGTGTGGAAATTAGGAGGTGTGGAGTTAAAAGTATTAGTCAGAGGGCTGAGAAGGGGTTGTTGAGATGGTTTGGTCATTTAGAGAGAATGGATGAAAGTAGAATGACATGGAGAGTGTATAAATCTGTAGGGGAAGGAAGGCGGGGTAGGGGTCATCCTCAAAAAGGTTGGAGGGAGGGGGTAAAGGAGGTTGTGTGGGCGAGAGGCTTGGACTTCCAGCAAGCATGCATGAGCGTGTTAGATAGGAGTGAATGGAGACGAATGGTATTTGGGACCTGACGAGCTGTTGGAGTGTGAGCAGGGTAATATTTAGTGAAGGGATTCAGGGAAACCGGTTATTTTTATATAGCTGGACTTGAGTCCTGGAAATGTGAAGTACAATGCCTGCACTTTAAAGGAGGGGTTTGGGATGTTGGCAGTTCGGAGAGGTATGTTGTGTATCTTTATACGTATATGCTTCTAAGCTGTTGTATTCTGAGCACCTCTGCAAAAACAGTGATTATGTGTAAGTGAGGTGAAAGTGTTGATTGATGATGAAAGTATTTTCTTTTTGGGGATTTTCTTTCTTTTTGGGTCACCCTGCCTCGGTGGGAGACGGCCGACTTGTTAAAAAAAAAAAAATAACAATAAAAGTAAAAATAAACAGTGCTTGCATTAGACTGTTCAATTCCACATTGCTTAAATTGGTTATTTTACACAGATATGTTCATCCAGTTCCTGTTCATGCGGCTACCTATAACCCTTCTGAGTGGAGGTGACTTGTGCTGTTTTCATATTTGTTTTGCAGTACGTACTAACTTACACTTTGTTTCTTTGTTACAATACAGCATTGTAATCAACTGTGCTTTTCATTTTTTCAGCTCTCATCCCCGAATCTTGTTATGCAAGTTGTGAGGGTATTGTAGATGAGTGCCGTCACTTAGCCACTAGCTCATTTGTAGACAGGGGCCTGGTACGTGGTATTGGAGCATATGCTCGCTCGTGTCCTCTGCCTTTTAAGTTACCAGATGGAAATTTCTCTACTGTGGGTGGTAAGAGGTTCATAAACACGTTCTGCCTTGGTGGATAAGACATGTGTCCAACACATGGGTATCTTTAATGTGGAGATATTTCACCAGCCAGTGGCCTTATGAATATAATAGTTACCACTGAAGACAGTGGAAGACATGTAGAAGTGCTTCATGTCTTCCACCGTCTTCAGTAATATTCTCGATATTGGATTGATAAAGCCACTGGTTGGCAAATTTCTCCACATTTAAGACACCCAATTGTTACACATGTGTCTTATTCATCTACCTGTCAGTTTTGTAAACCATTAATATAGTAAGTTTAGCCTTCTTTTATTGTCACAGATTTGTGTAGTGTATGAGTATCATTTCTCTTAACTCATTGGTTATACAAATAATATGAAGAAAATCATGGTAAATGCACCAAATAATATGATCTTATTTGCAGGTGATGGCATAGGTGATGTCATTCAATTATTAGTTTGGGAAATAAATGAAATAGAACGAGCAGAAGTTGAGAAAGAACCCAAAGATTGGCCGGTGGGAGATGAGGTACTGTACAGTATTTGATTTTTTAATTTTGGCAAATTATTTTATATTTATAATGATTAAAACAGTTGTTCTCAGGTACCTAAATCTGTCATTAAAGTTGGATGTGAAGTGGAGCTTGTATAAATTTTGAGATAATATCACCACATTTCACCCAGTCACCCTGGTGTCAGTGATAAATACAGCTTTGTATATCAGTAACCACAGTTCTGTAATGCTGTACAGTATCAATTAGTTCTAGGTGTGGTGAATATTCTTTGTTTTCTGCCAGACTATAAAAAAAAGCCTCCCTAGTTTCCTTGAAATTGAGTATACCAGTGACTGCTGAGCTCATTGTAAATGTCATTCTTTCTTTGTCTGTATTGTTTATAATTCAATAAGCCTTGTTGCTGTCGTCAGATCGTAATAAAAACAATAATAATAATAATTCTAGGTAGTAGGCTGGTAGACAGCAACCACCCAAGGAGGTACTACTGTCCTGCCAAGTGAGTGTGAAACGAAAGCCTGTAATTGTTTTATATGATTGTAGGATTGCTGGTGTCTTTTTTCTGTCTCATAAACATGAAAGATTTCAGGTATGTCTTGCTGCTTCTACTTATATTTAGGTCACACTACACATGCATGTACAAGCATATATATACACACCCCTCTGGGTTTTCTTGTATTTTCTTACTAGTTCTTGTTCTTGTTTATTTCTGCTTATCTCCATGGGGGGGAAGTGGAACAGAATTCTTCCTCCATAAGTCATGCGTGTCATAAGAGGCAACTAAAATGCCAAGAGCAAGGGGCTAGTAACCCCTTCTCCTCTATATATTACTAAATTTAAAAGGAGAAACTTTCGTTTTTCTTTTTGGGCCACCCCACCTTGGTGGGATACGGCTGGTGCATTGAAAGAATAATAATAATAATAATAATAATACAGTAATACTACTAATAATAATTATAATAATAATCCTCCTGGAAATGGGAAGTACAATGCATGCACTTTAAAGGAGGGGTTTGGGATATTGGCAGTTTGGAGGGATATGTTGTGTATCTTTATATGTGTATGCTTCTAGACTGTTGTATTCTGAGCACCTCTGCAAAAACAGTGATAATGTGCGAGTGTGGTGAAAGTGTTGAATGATGATGAAAGTATTTTTCTTTTTGGGGATTTTCTTTCTTTTTTGGGTCACCCTGCCTCGGTGGGAGACGGCCGACTTGTTGAAAAAAAAAAAAAAAAAAAAAAATCCTCCATGGGGAAGTGGAGAAGAATCCTTCTTCTGTAAGCCATGCATGTCATAAGAAGCAACTAAAATACCAGGAACAAGGGGGCTAGTAACCCCTTCTCTTGTATAAATTACTAAATATAAAAAAGAAGAAAAAACTTTTGTTTCTTCTTTTCTGGGTCATCTTGCCTCAGTGGGAGTTGGCCAGTGTGTTAAAAAAAAAAAAGCATATCTTCTTTCAACAAACCGGTCATATCTCACCGAGGCAGGGTGGCCCAAAAGGAAAAAAACGAAAGTTTCTCCTTTTAAATTTAGTAATATATACAGGAGAAGGGGTTACTAGCCCCTTTGCTCCCAGCATTTTGGGCACCTTTTATGACACGCATGGCTTACGGAGGAAGAATTCTGTTCCACATACATAGTACTAGATGTATATTGAACTATGTACATTGCTGTTCTAATATTTATTAATTCTTTTCAAAGGTAAGTCTGCTTCTTAGACTGGGAGCAGCTGTTACTTCAATGCTTTGTTGGTTGCAGCTTCGTGCAACTCACCTTTTGCACACTTGGAATACAGCACCTTACTATCTTCTAACTCAAGCTGACTTACCACGAGCTATTCAAGAACTGAAGTTGCTACGAGTGAGTGAGATTTTATAATGCTTTAAAAATACGTACAGCTCTTTAGTTTTTAATCAATTAATGAATATGTTAGGTATATTAGGTATTAACGATATGCAGAGTAATGTTAGGATTGAGTTGAAGCCTTAAACAATGGGGTTATAAAGATAAATGAAACATTAAATAAAGAAAGGGGCTGTACGTATATTTCAGCATCTGAGACCCTTTTCAGCAGATCTGCTGAAGAGCTCCTTAGAGGCTGAAATGTACAGTTCCTTCTTTATTTCTCATCTCATGTGTCTCAAAGTGGGATTCTCCATTCCATTTTAAGTGAGAATTTACAACAAATTTACACTCAGTATAGTACATGGTAGCCTTTGATATGTTATGGACTCCCCATAAATACTTTATAAAACAATGTGTAAAACAATGTGTATCTTGGATTGTTACTTTTTTTTTTGGAATTAATAATTATTCTAATATGGTCATGTATAACATTGCAGATTCAGGAGAGAGATAACCTTATCAAAACAGATGACATGGCTCGCCTGCTTTATGCCATGTCTCGTGACAACCTTGTAAAGATGATTGAAAAAGTAATTGACAAGATAAAGGTAGGAAGTAACATTTTATTTCCAAACCATGTTATGTAATTTATGTGTTACAGTAGTACTTTATATGAAGGTAAATAATGTACTGGTTATTCTAGTCCAACATTGAAGAACTGCAATGACAAAAGTAAAAGGAGTACCAGTCACTTCTGTTAACCCTTTGACTGTTTCAAGCCCCTCTCTGAAACTGTCATTCTATGTCGCTCAATTTTTGGAAAAAAAAAAATTATTTTTTCTTATGAAATGATAAAGAATCTTTTCCCGATGGTAATGACACCAAAAGTTCGAAATTTGGTCGAAAACTCATGGAATTATGCTCCCGCGAAGTTAGCGGTCTCGGCGACATATGTGTATCGGCGATTTCGCCGACTTTGAACCCTATTTTCAGCCAATTCCATTGTTCCAGTTGACAAAACTCATACCTATTTCTTTAGAACTCCCTTTTATCTATCAGCTGAGTACAAGAAACCTCCCATTTACTAATTTGGACTACCCAATATGGTGGTCAGAAATTGGCAATTTGGACAATTTCACGCAAACTAAAAAAGATGCCAATTTCAAAATAGGGTCCAGAATAAACAAGGTAGACATTTGTGGCACTAAAATAACATATGCTCTGTTCATTAGTCATATCTCTAGGCCCCTCTTATATTATTATTGCTTTCTATTTTGATTTTTTATTCATACAAAAAAATACAAAATTTACTGTTATGCAGACTACTGCATTATTGTAAAAATGGTATAAATAACATCAGTGCACTAGTGAAAGAATATTAGACTCCCCAGTTGACGTGTATTGGACGTGTGGTGTGATTTATTTACTCCTTAACATTGGTAAAAATCGAACATTTCCGCTACTTTGAGCTCAGTTTCAAGGTCGTTTTCATTGTCAAAGTAATGAAAATCATCTCTATTTCTGTAATATGTTTTCCATTTTATCACCTAAGACCATGAAAATGCGAATACAACGATAAATACTATACGAAAATACACCTCAAGTCGGTGTTTTATTCCAAAAAAACGATCAGTTTTTTTTTCTCATTACGCAATGTGTGCTGCAGGATTTTTTTTATGTGGTGCACACTGACCACACAGACCCATTCTCTCACATGTGGGCCTACCAGCTTTCTCCCGCTTGATTTGAAGCCGCTAGAATTATTGAGTATATATACGTCAGAAACATTGGCTCGTAAGACGTATTTATATGTCGAAAACAGTCAAAGGGTTAATGGTTCTTGTCTGTAAAGGCTATACTTACACTGAAGCATCAATTAATCAATTAATGACAACTCGAAATACAAGCAATGTCAAAATTTTAGTGGTAGAAATACGTTAAAAAAGACAGAAAGTTCATAGTAAATGCATTGTACTGACTTAACAACATATTGGAGAGAGAGAGAGAGAGGAGGAATTTAACAAAATCAGTGAGGGTCTGCAAAGTGTACTAAGGATACTGTGGTATTAATAAATAATAACTGAAAAGGCAAAATTCATTATAATCAGGGATGTCAAAAGAAATGAAGTAAGTGGCCTATGAGGCTGAAAGGATAAGCAAATAGTCAACCAGATTCCTCAGTATAATAATTTTTATGCATCAGCATATTAAAAAATTACTCAAATGAAAGAACCCACCTGTAGTAGTAACTCTAGTCCTACCCATTAAAGAAGAAATTCTGAACATAAAGTATTTAAACCTGCTGGCTAAAACATTAATGTTCTGTTGGCAATATAGTAATATACTAGGCACAGAAAAAATAACAAAGCTTTTTACAGTACAATTAAGAACTGGAGTGAGGAGGTAGCAAGTGCTACAACTATTGAAAATAAAAAAGTATGTTAGATTACAAACTGAAAGCAGGACACAGCAAGTATAGCTCTGCGTTTTCTATTGTGTTTGCATTCAGCATATGCTTTTCGTGTTATTGTATGTGTATTTCTTAATAGGTCTTAATACTACTATATTTCCTGTCCAAATTTTGAGGCCTTTTCCGAGACCAGGCCACAGGGAAAATTATTCTCGTCATCAGTAGCATATATACTATAATAGAACGTCACATTGATGTGTTGTTGCAGCATGAGAGTAACCAAGAAAAGAACCATCAGTGGTAGTAAGAGTATTCCTTTTACCAGCATCCAGAACTTTGCCAGTGTGCTGTATTTAGTTCATTAGCATTCTTAAAATTTTTATTGTCAGAAAATTCTTGTATAAAATATTGCAGGTAACAAATCTTAAATAAAACCTACATGCTTTAATTCTGGTTTTACTTAAATGATGCTTTATTCTGTCTCCAGGAATATGAAGATGAATCCGTAGAAGCTGTTAGTTCTGTATGTCGAACTGTGAGTCTGGCCCAGTTACAAAATTCAATGCCCAAACCACGGATCTGGCGAGGGATTGGCCGTATTCCTCATGAACCACATTACTATGTATATGAATATATTGGTATGATATTAGAAAGTGTTTTATTTATTATGGTTTCAAGGCCTGTTAAGAAGAAACTTTACTTGGTGATGCTTATTGATTTGTGTCAAACACAGTACATACTGACACGCTCATCTTTTGATCATATTATATATTAATGTGATGCCTTAATAGTGTTATTACTATAGTTTTATATACTGTCTATGCAAATTATGTAATATGTTAGTGCAGTGTAAAGCTTTTAAGTATATATTGCTTCAAATAATAATACGTATTCAAATAATATACGTATTCTGTTTAGCAGTATCAAGTGTGGACGAGTTTGTAAACAAAATAGTATAGCAAACAGAATGTTTTTGTGGGAAGTAATCAAAATATTACAGAGGCACACACAGTAATGAATTCAGGAGCTGAGACTAAGCAAGTTATAGCAATAACTAAGCAAGATATACCAATAAACTCTTTGTAAAGTAAAAGGACACAAGTGCAACTAATGTGACATTTTATTGTGGCAACGTTTCGCTCTCCAGGAGCTTTATCAAGCCATTACAAACAATACATGGACACAGAGGGTATATATAGGCTCAGAGTGAGGTGCAATACTAGTGAGGTACCATTTCGATGCTCACTAGTGGTGGTAGTAGTAGTAGTAGTAGTAGTGACAAAAGTAATACAATATGGTAGAGCAATTAATTCGTACATGAGAAAAAGGATATAAAAGCAAGAAACCTCGACACCCGCCTCAATGAACACATTTACGCATGTAGGAACGCCCAATTAATGATCAAATGAAACTAATTTCCGTAGATGCAAGTGCCTCGAATCAGCACTGATCGCTGTTTCGAATACAATTAAACAAAACAACGGCAGTTTCACCATCTCCGAAGTCTTAGCAAGAATCCTCCTGAAAACAGTAAACCCTGCCATCACATAGTCTCTCCTGTTATACTACACAAGCACATACAAGGAGTGAACACTGAAAGAAGCTGCCTCTTTCCAGTCTATATTTGTCCAACCTATTTTTATGTTACCCAAGTAATAGCTTTTATATCCTTTTTCTCATGTACGAATTAATTGCTCTACCATATTGTATTACTTTTGTCACTACTACTACTACCACTACTAGTGAGCATCGAAATGGTACCTCACTAGTATTGCACCTCACTCTGAGCCTATATATACCCTCTGTGTCCATGTATTGTTTGTAATGGCTTGATAAAGCTCCTGGAGAGCGAAACGTTGCCACAATAAAATGTCACATTAGTTGCACTTGTGTCCTTTTACTTTACATATTGTCGGTAATTCTACCAACTTTATTACAAATTCTTTGTAAGAATTGTAGATTTGGTTACATCATTAATGGGTTTGTTGCATAATTAGTGAATTCATTTCATTGAACAGGAACTAGAGAACAAGTGATGGTGAACATGCTTTTACTTTTTAAATCACCCTGCATTAGTGGGGAAACAGCTGATACATCAAAAAATAGAACATTACAATAAGGCATATGAGTTGCAGAGGCACTCTATTAGTTAAGCATATTAAATGGGTAAGGATTTTTCAGATTAAAAAGCAAGGATTTGGGTGTACAAGGCTAGTTGCCCACCTCTGGAATTGCTTCAGGTGTGCATCCATTTAATTAGTAAATTTAACTGCCCTCCAGCAAATTGATTTGGGTTTATTCCAAAATCCAGTTATCTTTGAACAGTATAATACTTAATACAAATATTAATAACAAGCTCTCAAATAAATGGAAATTAAGTGACACCTTGTTTATACTTGTCCATTATTAAGCAATAAGTTTCTATTTCCAGTTTGTGGATTAAAGCAGTTGTTAAATGCTCTAACCATAATTTTGTGACATATGCTCATTGCATATATTTCTCACAGCTGCAGTGCTAGAACCAGTGTTAGATGCTGTCTCAAAGCTTGGTGTGGTATTGCAGCGGCGTGCTGGAGCTACTGTTTTAAAAGTAGTGTGTTATGCATGGCTGGAACACATCAGGGTTCAAAAGATTAAGTTTTCGCTCTGGGGTGCTCAACAGTTACTAAAAGGTTTGTAAATGATCGTTAAATGTATATTCTATAGTTTATTCATGCTTGACATAAAATTTTTGTAACCATATTCTTCAAGGTTTTTCTATGCTATTTTATCTAAAGCATACATATTTAGAGCATTAACAGTAATTTTGAAAACTAACATATTCTTTTTCAGATTTTCATGCATTAGCTGAATGGTTACAAAAGTATCCTGGCCTAGCTCCAGAGGCTCGCACTCAAGTATTGGCAGTGGATGTTCTCCGTGAGTGTGAGGGGGTGGCGAGGTTACTCATGAGGCAACCACCATTAGTTGTAGGATATACCTCACAAAACCAGGTGGCACCTATGGGCCCTATCATTGCAGGTGAGAATGTTTTTTTTTTTTCAACAAACCTGCTATATCCCATCGAGGCAGGGTGACCTAAAAAGAAAAACGAAAGTTATTGTTTTTAAACTTTAGTACTAATTTATACAGGAGAAGGGGTTACTAACCCCTTATTCCTGGCATTTTAGTCGCCTCTTATGACACGTATGGTTTATGGTGGAAGAATTCTGTTTCACTTCCCCCTGGAGAGAAGAGGAAATAAAGAACAAGAATTATTTAGAAAATTGAAGAAAACCCGGATGGGTGTACTCACCTATTTGTGGTTGTGTAAATGTATATGTAAATGTAAATGTATATGTGTGTGCATGCATTTTGTAGTGTGACCTAAGTGTAAGTAGAAGTAGCAAGATATACCTGTTATCCCGCTTGTTTATGAGACAGAAAAAAGACACCATCAATCCTACCGTTATGTAAAATAATTACAGGTTTCCATTTCAAACTTACTTGGCAGGACAGTAATACAGTACCTCCCTGGGTGGTTGCTGTCTACCAACCTACTACTTAGATGTTCATTATTTTTTTTTTCAAACAAGTCTGCCATCTCCCACCAAGGCAGGGTGACCCAAAAAGAAAGAAAGTCCCCCCAAAAAAATACTTTCATCATCATTCAACACTTTCACCTCATACATAATCACTATCCTTGCAGAGGCACTCACATACAACAGTTTAGAAGTCCCTCCAAACTGTCAATATCCCAGACCCCTCCTTTAAAGTGCAGGCATTGTATTTCCCATTTCCAGGACTCAAGTCCAGCTAAATCTGTAATAACCAGTTTCCCTGAATCCCTTCATTAAATATTCCCTGCTCACTCTCCAACAGATCGTCAAGTCCCAAAAACCATTCGTCTCCATTTACTCCTATCTAACATGCTCACACACATTTTCTGGAAATCCAAGCCCCTCACCCACAAAACCTCCTTTATCCCCTCCCTCCAACCTTTTCGAGGACAATCCCTACTCCTTCTTTCCCCTACAGATTTATATGCTCTCCAGGTCATTCTGCTTTGATCCATTTTCTCTAAATGACCAACCACCTCAACAACCCCTCTTCAGCCTCTGACTAATACATTTAGTAACTCTACACCTCCTCCTAATTTCCACACTCCGAATTTCTGCATAATATTTACACCACACATTGCCCTTAGAAAGGAATCTCCCCTGCCTCCAGCTTTTGTCAAAAAAAACAGTC